CGCACGCCGGTGCGTAAACTATATAAAAAGTAGATTATATATTAAAGACGTATATATATATACATATATATGCATATGTATAAATATATATATATATATATATGAAAAAAAATTAAAGTATAATATATATATATATATATACATATATGTATAATTACGTAAAGTTATATGTATATATATTAGGCATATAAAACGAAAGACAGATGTTGGCGCGATTAAAATTGCGTAAGGAATGTGTGACAGAGGGTTAGACACCCACGCCTCCCTTATTCCACTTGTATCCGACCTATTGCACACGACACTCGCGCGTGTACACATCCCAACTACATGTATGTACACGTGCACATGAACACACACACATACACGTTACACGGTGTATTAGGCACCCGGCGTCTTCACATGCTGTACAGATTATACATTATTCCCGTACACACAAAGAGACAAGTGCGGATTTTAACGCGAAAGTTCATCGCCGTGAAAGTTTTCGCAGGTTTTCTCTTATTTACGATAGTTTGTTTTCTTTTTCCCTGATACAGACACGATTTTGTAGATAATTTTTCGTAACGATATCTAGCGTTATTATAATTATACATATGTCTCGAGTGGTAGCGAGTTACTCGTGTAAGTTAACCCAATTTTATTTTCTCACCTTTACATTTACTACCACTATTATTCTCGCTATTATGTGCACTATTATTATTAAAATTATTATTACAGCTATTATACTTTATTATTATCATTATTACCAGTACTATTATTATTAGTTATGTTATGTATATTATGTAAAGATTTTTCTCTTAAATCACAAGTGTCGCGACACTTTGTGTTTTCGATAATCACCGCTTTTATTTGTTCGAAACCTTGATTTACTCCCTAAGTTTGCGACGTACCCTGTTCGTAAATTCCTGTCCTCCTTGCGTTTTTCTTTCTCCATCTTTTTACGTTAAGACGAAACCCTTCTACCCTCTACGTTCCTTCGCCTGCCCGCCTTTTATTCAACGATGTTTTACCGACTACTTTCTGACATTTTTAGTTGCTATTGTGTATTCAGTTATTGTACCACGACGACTAATTATCCTCCATTATAATTATTACGATTACTAATTACAATTAAGCATGAGTTCACACAAGTGTACACGAAGAGCAAATAAAAGAAAAGAACAAAAAGAGAAAGAAGAAACACACGTAATACGTAACACATAATACACATA